GGTGAGAATAAAAGGTTTCATGTCTTTTTCTACAGTGGATGTAAACTCCTGGTTTCTACTGCAGATGTTCTAACTAATAACTATGATCACAGTGAAAATGTTCTGCTGAAGCTAATCAAGATCAAGATCCCAGTTCTCCCTAATAACAATGAGATGTGCATGTATCTCCAGGAAGCCACTCTGCAAGTGACTACAGAGGATATTGTGGTTTGACGGAGGAGGTACACACATAAAAGATTAACTAGAAGAGCTGAATTTTTCATTTGAAAACCACCTGCTTGTGTCCCAAATTTAGTCTGTTGTCGACAGAAATCCATTTCTGCAGCCAAAGTGTTGCTCTAAGTAGACAGTAAATAGTGAAATGATTGTCTGTGGAGTTAATAATTACACACAATTAAAAAAGCAAAAGCTGCATCAGACAGCGTCGTAGAAAACCAAATCCACGGTGGGCTGCTGGTGACAAAGCTCACAGCGCCAGCATAAACAGAGAACCTATCAACCTATTTATACCAGAAACACACCAGCAACAGATGTTGGTGGTTTAGAGGCCAGAGTGGTTAATTATCTGTGGCTGAACTGGAGCGCACATTGGCTTTTATCTGGATATTTACACAGATACAGATGCAGACAGTCCTGCTTCCTGTAGTGCAGATCTGACGGAGGATTTTCTATCCAGCGTTTTAAAGCCGCGGCTCAGAGGACCGGCACCGGTGCTGCTGCTCAGGGGTTCTGAAGCAACGCAGGTTTTCCTCCTCGAGAGAAGGTGTCTTTAAAAAGCTGGACTTTGTCTTTACACCATCTCAAACAAAGCTTAGTGTGTGTGTGTGTAGGTGTGTGTGTGTGTGTGTGTGTGTGTGTGTTGTCTACACAGAGTTAAAGTCGGCTTTCAGCTCGTGTGATGGACAACATAAACATAGCATGGTATCTTGAGGCACTCCTTCCATTTATGACAGCAGAGCAAAGTCCAAATCTGGCCCAGTCATTCACACACACACACACACACACACACACACACACATCTACACACACATCTACAAACACACACACATCTACACACACACATCTACACACACACACACACACACCTCTTTAGGAATTATATAACTTGATAAGCAATGATTCACTGGCTGACGGTGTATCAACACACTCGGTCCGGCGGTCGGACTTGCAGCAGATTATTCAGAGATTATGCGATAATTTTATCAAAGATTCTGGTTTTCTTGTCACTGATTAAAGTGATTTCAGAACCGTGCACCTGAATCAGTGAGCGTGCAGGACCCAGCTTTAGAGGTTTGGTTCATGTGGGGTTAAAACTCAAACAGCTGACAAATAAAACGATAAAGAAAAATAATGTGAACCCGGCGGCTCAGCGAGTCGCTTCATTAAATGTGATATTATGACAGCGGTCCAGATAAGCGCTGCTAGCAGAGAACTTCTCCTATTTCTCAACCACAAATTCATCATAAGTTCTCCTACTTTAAAATAGCCGCGTTACATCAGCGATGACATTTTAACCTCTGATGAACTGTGATATCATTTCCATAAAAATCTCATTATTTAGTTCTTATTTTCGGTTTAATGTTGCTGCTGCTTGATCATTACGAGATAATCTGATGATTTCTGTCTGTGCCGGTCTCCCTGTTCCTTATGTGGCTTGCATTGGTTCTCAGAGGGTTTTCTTTTCCAGTTATCATCATGACAGCAGGACTTTCAGCTCCTTTACGAGCAGTGACATGTACGTGCAGCCGTGGATGGATTTCCTGGCAGCCGTGGTTTTAGTGATTCAATAATTTATTAAAACTGGTAAACTTTAAACTTGCTTTAAACACATAATACGGATTTGTCCTGGTGTGAGAACTAAAAAAGCATCAAAAGGAGACCTAAAGCAAACCTAAAGCAAACCTAAAGCAAACCTTACTAAAGCATACCATCAGGCCTGTGATCATGAAGAGAAGAAAAGGTTTAAATTGCTCTAAATTATTTTACAAATGTCACCAGATGACTGATTGTAAGAAGAAGAAAACCACAGACAGACATTGGTGGACGACAGGCTGCCGGGGACCGTTTGGTTTGTACGACAGCCTGATACGTTTCTCAGATAACATCTATCAGCAGTCATGCAGCAAACCTCAAAGACAAATCAGAGTTTGTCCCTGAGCTCGGGTCCAAAATATCGCTGAGTCAAAATCATTATTTTCAAAAAACACCAACCGCCCAAAGGTTGTGTAATTTCTGCAAACTTCTCACATGACACAGCAGATAAAGACCTGAGCGGTGACACATGGGGAGCTGCTGTCCTCCCAGAAGCACTGCTCAGCTCGACACACACCCGCCGGTCCACTCACCTGAGGAGCTGTGACCACTCTGATGGCTGAAGTCTCTGCCTGGTGTTTGCATGTCAGACTCACACTCACTGCGGCCCACAGACACACTGTGGACCCACACCTGACCGCGTGCCACTTGTCAGTGCTGTGACCGCACCCCTTCCCCCCCCAGCGCCATCACCACCCCCCAAGCTGGCAGCCTGTCACACTGCTCAGTGTCCACCTTCACACATCATCCAGCCTCCTCATGTGTCTGTACAGATCAGGAACCAATAACTCAAGAGGTCTCCAACAGAAGCCCTGACCAGACCGTTTGGAACCAAATCCAGATGAAGGATGATCATTTTCTGTTTGTTTGTTTCAATAACGAGTCATTTAATAACGCAGACGTGTGTGTGTGTGTGTGTGTGTGTGTGTGACCCAACTCAGTCCTATTCAGTCAAAACCCATTTTAAGGTGGTTTCCAGCGTTTATCAGCCAAACCAAAACCCACAACAGTCGGCGCGCAGCGAGCTGCGAGCGGAGCGGAAGGTGACTGACCTGATCAGGGCTGAGACGCGGAGAGACGGAGCCCACTTGCAGTTTGTGAAGCTGGGTCGTCTGTTTACGGTCGTTGCCGCTCGGTTCGTGAGCCCTGGTACCGCTGGGTCCGCACCGTGCGCACAGGAGCGCAGCGCCAAAGTGGTCAGGTCTGATCGCTGCCGAGCTGCGCGCTCCTGCCGCTGCTGTGTGGTCGCTGTCGGCCTGCCTCTCTCTCCTCCCTCCTCTCAGCCCAGCCGCCCGGGATCCTGAGGACACGCACAGAGGCATCAGGTTACCTCGTGGAGCTCTGATTGACTTCATCCGAACTCTTGTTCTGGGGATTCCTCGGTCGTCTTCCTGACAGAAAGTTAAGGTTCAGACTTTAAAGGTTCGTGTTTCTTACCTTCTTGCTTTATTGTTGAACGCTGAGTTTTACTTGAAGGGATATTTGGACGTTGTGAGGTTGTTCCTGATGAGAGTGACCTTCATGGCAGCAGCTGGACAGACAGACTGGGAGGTTTGTCTGCAGGTGGAGGTGGTGCTGGTCCAGCAGCTCTTAGGGTCACTAATGCAGAAACAGTTTTCTGGCTCCAGGGGCAGATCTAAGGAGAGAGCCAGGGGGGCCGTCACAGACCAGCGTCTGGCCACCCCATAGAAACAACAGCGACGTTTCCAGGACCACGTCGGCGCCCATAGAACCGGACTCGCTGCTGTTTTCCCTTTTAGCGGCACAGCCACACAGCCTTCAACCACGAGCAGCCAGAAAACGTTCAGACAAGAGTTCAGGTTACCGGAGAGCAGACAGCACAACAAGACACCTGCTTTACCAGCTGTCCGTGTGCTTTAGCCGCCACGGCGTGGGATTCACGTGTAGCTCTGGAATCAGCTGAAGCTTTGAGTCTTCAGACTGTTGGGAAGAAACTTATGTTGCAGGAATCAAGCAGTCAGTTGGACTCAGAACCTGGACCCAAAAGAGGGAAGAACAAAGCAAATCAAATGTCTGGATGGACGATGTGTGAAACAGGCCAGCTGAGAGTTTTATATGTTCTTCCCAGAAATCAATCAAGTATAACTTTAGCAGCCGTTTCACATTTTCTATCAGCTGAGTGTTATATAGAAAAAGCCCGTGAGTTCTGATGGACTTTGTAGACAAATGATAAGAACCAGGGACCAACACAATGTGCCTGAAACACAGTGAGTCATGGTCTGAGCCTGGCCACCCCGGTAGCAACAGTTTGGGTCAGTCTAAAGGGAATCAAACCCACCTCCCAGCACCTCAGCGCTCCGTCATCAGGCCCAGTCTCATGCTGTGGTTTTACAGCGATACCGACGTACCGGGCTCTTACTGGCTGGGAGGGCTGCCTCTGTGAAGGGTTTCTCCCTCCAAACAGGAACAGTAGCCTGAATTGTTTTTAGATTTGAGCTGAGTAGCTGAAACAAACCAGATACAAGGCGTTAAGGAGAAAGTTCTACAGGTGCTCAGCAGGTGACTGGACTTCTTTTGGACCAATCCAGGACAGCTGAGCAGTTTCTCCTGTTCCCTCTGCACTGAGGAGCTCCACATACGTACAGCCACAGACAGTTTACAGAAGATTAGCGAACCTCCGGGTCTAAACAGGGAAGCCAATCAGGAAGTGAACTTGCATTCTTTGTAACAGCCAGCAGGGGGCGACTCCTCCCATTTTATAAAAGTCTATGAGAAAACGCTCCTACTCCTCACTGGATTAATGACATCAGTGAACATTTCTCTCATAAGTTTATGGTCTCAGTCGCTGGTTTCAGGTCTCCTTCAGCGCAGCATGATGTTCATTTTGTAAGTTAGAGTCTCATTTAGAAGGAAACAGGTCGAGCGTGTTGTAGGACGGCCAGGTTAGTGTCACAAGGTTTTCAGTCAGACCCACATCCAGCTGGTCCAAGATGCCAGATTTCTGTTTAGGACGTTTAAACATGAATCCACCAACCAACAGTGGACGTCAGCATCAGCATGGTACTGTGTTAGTAGGAGCTCACTGACTTCCTGTAGTTTCATAGTTTCATCTATAACACCGTTTGTTATGAGTCAATACGGTGTTTTCTGTATAAACTCTAAAACGTGAAGCCTGTAAATAGCAAACAGTACAGATTTCCTTCTAAATGAGGAGGCATAAATGGAAATCCTCCAGTAAAGTACAAGTACTGCTGACTTGTGCATCGGGCTGAGCAGCGCCGTCCTGACCGGCGCTGAGCAGGGTGAGACTGAATCAGTAGGTTTCCATCAGAGGTCGACTGTTCCTTGAAGCCGAAGCCTCGATACTTGACAGTAAGTGATTGCTGGTTTTGTGGCCTGGCTGGTTCCTGGGCTGCCCCCCTCTTAGTCAATTAGAGCGCTAATGATGACTAACGGGTCGGTGCACGCTGTGGGCTGGTAGACGGCCGCCTGCTGGAAGGCGGCGATAGCTCCAGTTCGGCTGTTTGTTAGGACTTCCTGTGAGCGTTATTTAGGAAACAAAACGCCACAGTTGTAAGTTCAACCAGGAACGTGTTCTTCTAAATCGTACTCTGCTGTCCTGATTGGTTCATGATGCTTCATTTGGACTGACAGCTATTGAAGCTCAGCTGACTGTCGCATGCAAAAATAGCTGCACCATGAGCGGTTATTTGCCGACCTGCTGCATCGCTCTACACTGAGACTAACCCCAACACAAACCTCACTCTATTCTCACCTCGAAACCAGATGCAACAGGATCTTCAGGCTGTTTTTGAAGGCGGTCGTGGTTCTTCAAGGTGTTTTTTTTAACCCACTTACACTGAAATCACTTCTCGTTATCTGACAGCGTTTCGTTGTAAACATCTGAGCTGCAGTCGATACAAGCAGCTTTTCTTAAGACACCACATTCACATTTTCAACAACAAGCCTCCTGATGTCACATGAGATGTAAATGTTATTGTTGTATTTCTATTCTAGATAAAGTATTTCTATGTTCACACTGAAAGGTGGCGTCACATGGACGCTCTGGCTCAGCAGTGCAGACACTCGACAGCCTGCTGAATTATTTTGATGCCAAAACGTTCAGATCAAGAAACAAGTTGTTTTTTTTATTTCTGTCCGAGCGTCACGTGACCAGACGAAGCTGCTCGTCTGCTCCAGTGATGCAGCTCCTACAAGCCACCGGCCGGGTCTGAAGGCAGAACACTTCATTACTCTTCTGTTGGACTTTTTGTACACAATCATTTGCATTCATGGTTTTTCAGGAAGTTACCTCGAGAAGAACAGATTATAAAATCTGACGTCGATTCAGGCTTTCATGTTGTTCTCTGACCTGTTGTTGGCAACGAATAGAATTCATCAGACAGTTATTTAAATTATACGCCAGCAAAACCAACCGTTTAGCTCCAGTTGTTCAGACGTGATGGAGGCTGATAGCGCTGCACAGACGTCTAACGGTGTTCAATCTCAGAGAGCTCGGTAAAGTTCAACTCCTGCGTGCTGCTTTTCAAACCATTTGAAAGCATTACAGCGGATCACAACAAGCACCAAGCGCTGCTTCACTCGACTCTCAGAGCTTCCGTCAAATCGTGTTTGAAAATGCAAGTGTGGCTTAATTATGCTGCTTTCACTGTGCAGCTGTCAGCTCGATTCAGCTGCTTCCTTTCATCTGTTTTAACTCAGAACGGTGAATTAAGACAGCCGGCACACACACACACACACACACACACACACACACACACACACACACACACACACACACACACACACACACA